GAGCTACCCAGGTTGCTTGGCTGTTTCTGGTCCCACAAGGGTGTTCGGTGCTCCCTGGTAATGAGATTTCATGAAAGCCACCTACCTTTGCATCAGCCTCTGACCCCGTTTCCTAACTTGGGGCCAGGCATGGGTAATTTAACTCTCCTAAGCTGCAGAGCAGAGGTCTCCCCCTTCACAGATGTTGGCTATGCAACCTGTTCTCGAGGGACCGTTCCATACTGTGAAAGCTGAAAAGCAAGCTTGGCCGTCAATATCAATTTTTAATAAGGCTTTGAAAACCAGGAAAGCTGCAGAGGATTGGAAACATGCCAGCCCTCCCCCCCGATATTTCCAAAGTACGAGTAATCAAATTATAAGTCTGTTTCTGTGCCATCAATCCTGGGAAAAACAATGGAATGAATTAATTTTTTTAAAGCCATAGTGTTGATGCAATTTACTAAAAGCTCTGCAATACATTAGAGCTGCCTACTGCACGACACGTTGATTAGGGAACTAAAGTGACTCTGAAACAACATGACACATTAAAGAGGTTAAAGCTGACTAACTAGTAGGTCCTATAACGTGACTGTAACTGAAAAATCATTAATGATTGCGTATATTTTTATTCAGTTTGTACAAGAATGTGTTCCCAGGCCTGCACTATTTAATATGTTATTAGAAGTCACAAAAAAAAGCCCAGAATCCCAAGAACATCCCAGCTTATGCAAGCTGTGATGAATAAACAACAAAGATAAAGAAAACTCCTTGAAAGCAGTCTACCTGGAAGCAGGCAAAAATGCGTCTCATTGCAGCCAAAGTCTAGCCATCTTCAGAACAGTGCTTTTCAGAACGTAGCACTCTGTCCTATGAAAACGCAGATGTTAAGAAAAAATGCAGAGCGTGATGGAAGATAAGCAGGTGGGCACAGAGGCTGGGCAAGACACTGTGACTGAAAGTCTTGGCTGAGTAAAACAAGAGGTGCAACAGCAATGGGAATATCCTATCCAGTTCTGCAATCGCTCTCCAGAAAAAGCGGTGAAAGAATGAAGTAAATTCAAATAGTCACTTCAGTAACCAGAGGATTGAAAATTAGAGCCTTTACAGTAACCACTTCAGAAGGATTATCTGTTTAGCTCGTCAAAACTAGAAGTTAAGAAATGGCAAGCACATGTGGCTACAAAGCAAAGAAGAACTGAAGGAACTCGAGTTGCTTCTGTTGGACACAGGCATATTAAAGCCTGATGGCTAGAAATGTAACGTGTGGAAGAAAGGGGCAGGTTTCCAGCAGCAAAGGTACTACCATTAGAACACTTCACCTACTGCTTCCAATGGATTTTGTCCTCTTATTTTTCTTGGAAACACAAGATTGGAACTTATGACTAAAAACAGAGATGAAGTTTGAATTCTTGAAGTAGGATTTCACGCCTGTAAGCACTATGGCTCATCTTATGCTTTCAGATAACCACAGTATTACCCTATAAATCTTTGAAAATCTATAAACAAATGCTGCCAACAACAAAAAACCCTGACATTAATTAGCTCACTACCCATGTTTAGATCCAGGGTAACTCAATAGGTTTCAGTGTCTTCCAGCTGGAACACAGAGGGAAAAGTAAAACTTATCCTGCTACAGAGCAACCCTTAATATTTGTTAGATTCACTGTTTGGCAATTCCCTCCTTAGAAAGAGCTTCGTATTTCAGCCATCCCAAAGCACTATCTTTCAAAGTATGCTGGGTCAATTCCCATCAGACCAAGCTACCCAGCAATCAGAATAACTGGGAAGTCCAAGCTCCATTTCCCAGGTCTGCCACTGTGCAATAATGGACCTTTCATAATGACAACAACAACAACAAAAATCAGGAAATTTTCCAAAGCTATAAAACAGTTTACAACACCTCCCTTCACAAGGAAATTTCTGAAGAGCTGCTGAAAAATGCTCCCTGCATATACGCCTATGTCATGATGTCACATTTTCTAGAGTTGCGAGAGGCTGCTAAGGTTCAATACAAGCTCAGTGCAAGTACAGGGCCTTTTTCAGGGTGACGCAAGACCAGGGAAGTGCTCTGTAGACCCTTGGTTTTATTCATGGCCTTGCTTTGTCATAAGATACCTGGAGATGTTCTACGCAAGGGAAATAGTCAGACTCGGGGAAAAAAGCAGCTATTGTAATATTGCCATCTTTTTAGCTGTGCAAACCAGGTGGCAGAGATATCAGAACCAGGGTACATTAATTTGAAAAATTCTAACTTCCCCATTAATTTGAAATCTAAAATCTGGAGAGCCTTGAAGACAAAAAGTGTTGACTTAAGCAAGTATCTTCTCTTTCACCTGCAAAAGGGTTTCTTTGCCAGCTCTGAAGATGTTAAGTCCCAAGCAAGTGCATAGTTTGAACACCTCAAATTTGGGATTAAAAGCAAAGTAATTCAGGAAGGAAGGACCTTCCTATTTGTGGGACAGAACAGAATACACCGACGCTCCGGTCTGCGAAACAAGGCAGCTCCTAAGGCTGCCATGACCAGAAGTGTTTCTGGGATTCACAAGTCATTGACCACCTTCCAGGCAGCTCGCCAGCAGAAAGGTACCACTTACCACTGGAAACCAACTCCCGTGGATATAATTGCCAGCATTCCTGATATTCAATACGACCTTGGAAGTGAATTGTGCATTTTAATTCTCAGGATCTTTTGTGCTGATTTGACAGACTCCTTGAAAGAAAACCAACACATTTCATCATATCAATTTTTTATCTGTCCCCAGTAAAAACAATACCTTCTGAGAACTACCTTGGTTTGAAAATTATGCATTGCGATACACATTTACCAGAAGAACAGAAAAGAAGTAATATCTTTATTTCACTGAAATACAGGTCAAAACAGACAGCAAGATTTACAAATAAACAACCAAACAAGATCAAATCCCTTAACTAAATAAATGCTTCTTAAGATTAGGGATTTAGCTTGTCTGTCAGGGACTTTTTCAAGAGTTGCTGTCCTAAGGACTAGCACACCCTGGCGCACTTTCTACCAGCAAACCATGTTCAACACAGAAGCAAAGGAGAGGATTCTTACAAGGCCCAGACCTGATCCTAGGCAGCCCACATCCTTCAGGGATTGCTTTTCCAGGACCAAAGTCTGGGCAGGCCATTTACATCACTTCAACCTTCAAGCGTGCTACTGTTCAGCATACCTTGGGCACCTGCTTCCACCCGGACAGGCAGCAGTGACCTTCTCATGTTGCCATGTGGGAGGCAAGCAGACAAAACGGTGCAGGTCAGAAGCCCCCAAAGAACACAACCTTTCAGATCCCAGCCTAAAAACATTTTAAATTTGTATTTTAGTTTCAGAACCAAGTGACTGGAAGTTTTAGCAGCTGTCATTTGCTTTTCATTCCAAATATAAATGCAGAGCTAGCCAAAGCTCCTTGCCAAACACAAATCAAGACACTGCAGCAGGCTGAGAACATGTCTATTCCTCACCCGTGAGCAGATCACACGCTACAATTACTGACTGCATCATATGGAGGACGCCCATTTCTCTTTAATGGAATAGAAGCATTGAACCATATAACATACATATGCAGGACTTGAAAGAGCAACACAAGGTCAAGCCTGCAACTAGACTGCAATAGGTCCTGTAATTTAGATCTATGCATAACACGGCCAAGGCTGCAACTAACATTTTTCTGCTCTAGGCAAATATATATTGAAGAGAGATGAGGTCCTACACTCACAAAGTAAATCCGAGCTATATAAACTGATCTACGAGCAGTAAATCTGTGAGCAGTATATTTTTGTCCTTTGTCTCTTCTTCCCAACCGTTACAGTAATCTCTTCCCCTAGAAGACACCTGCCAGGAGAAAAGCAACATGCACAGTGGCATTAAAACCATCTACGTAGCAAGCCACCTGCTATTAACAGAATGGTGAGGTCCCTCTGCCTTTCCTGTCCCTGCTGGGCTTGAGAACAAGGGCAGAAGGACAAGAATGCGCACTGATTTTTGGTATTTCTGTATGTGTTCCTCCCACAGTTGTTGAATTTTCACCAAGCTTTAGTGACATTCTGCATTCTCACACATCTGACTGAATTTGTACATCAGCCCAAAGCAGAGACCACTGATCTTGAGACAGGTGAAACACATAACCCCGTTCTATTTCCAGGGAAACCTTTACCTTTAACATAGTTTTTTAGCACTTAAAAAAACAAACAAAAAAAAAAAAAACCCCAAAAAAAACCCTGAAAGGGTAAGGTAGGCCTCTCTGTAACAGCACAGCTGAGTAACTTAAAAATCAAAGAGGTTAAAAATCTCATTATTCCCCAGGACACGATTTTCCCTCCCACTTCCCCCCCCCCCCCCCGAGGGAACAGGGGCCCAGGAAAAATGACAAGTACAGAGCTAATGTAGCAACTCTGACCAAGGCACTGGTTCAGAAAATGTTGTAACTCTGTATTGCAGTACAACTAGAGCATTGAAAACATTTGAGCAGCTGCAGACACATAGCCGGTTGAAAGTTTCTCTCTAAGCACGTTTTAATTTGATATGAAAAGTATGGTACCATAAATCTCAGCCTCACTGAATAACTGCGTGGCCAAGAGAGCCTGTAATCAAAATTAACATACAAATGAAACAGCAGGAGGCAGTTCTTCTAAGGCCTATCCAGCTAAGTTTTTTTGTGAACACTGCTTTGTTTGTATTTAGTGTTGATGCAAGAGAAAATAAGTTAACTGAAACTACATGAAACACTTAATACCATTTAACTCCCCCCCCAAAAAAGTTAAAGTGTGTAATACAAACCCAAACAACAGAAGAGACAGAACAAGTAGAATACTTGACAAGATAAAAATAAGCGTATATGAAACTGCTCAATATACACAGAATAAGAGCACTTGTTTATTAGGAAACAAGTTGAATGAGCTCAAGAGACTCTTTCAACACATACAGGTCTACTGCAGAGTTTAATGCCAAACACGGGAAAACATGCCTCACCATTTTCTTCCTTTTCAGAAAGCAGGATTGTTTGTTTCACAAGTCTGAAGTAGTTTGATTTTGCAACAGACCTGAAATGAAAATGTTGGTAAGGGCTAGGGACAGTTGAAGTCAGCTGGTAATGCTTTTGTTTCTTTTTAATGAAAAGTGTTACCCCTTTTTTCTGGTATTATATGCTCATTAAGCTTCCTGCCTAGCTATAAAAGCTTTTTGTTATTTACTCATGAAATTTGAATGACTGTAACTAACTCCTCAGCAGGAGTTAATGTTATGTAGTTTAAGCATTACATATAAGATAAATACCTTGAGGTGCTTATTCAACTACTATTGTTTGATCAAAATCACCACCACAAGCAGCTGAGTTGCTCAGTTACTGTCCAGAGCTTCCTTGTACTGCAACAGCAGTGTCAGCTCCAACATGTCCGTACTACGCTCAGTGACAGATGAGCCCAGAACTCATTTTCAGACCTGTCAAAAGTGAAAGACAATGAGAATGCTAATGACTTAAGCTAAGAGCGCTACTGAAAATAATTAAGTGTAGATTAGGGTATTTGGAGAAAACCAACACCCCTCAGGCAGCACAAGACAGAGTTGGTAAATTCGAAAGACGCTGATTGTTTCATGTGAGTCAAGCTTACTGTTGAGGAAATGTATGCTATATATTCACAAAACATACTTTGTATTTGGCAACAAATTAGAAGTCCATAACAAAAAAAAAAAAAACAAACCAGAACATAGGAATTCATTACAAAGGATTTTAAAAACTTGCACCATGCAGAGCCTTCCAAACGTGTAATACCTAGTTTAATACAGTATTTTTACAGAAGAAAGAAATACTTGTTTTTAAACATGACTAATCTTGAAAATAGTTCACTATCTAGGCATCTACTGGCAAAGACAAAAGATATGCCACAGGCGTTAACTCGGGGCACAAAACATAGCAACAAATAAAATCGGAATGACACCATATGTGAATATTACATTATTCAAGATTGTGAAAACTTCCTGATAGGTCAAGAGCTAGTCACATGTAGGATGTTAGTCTCCTGGTTATGATCTAACCATTCTTTCAGGCATTTGAACATGCCAAGTTGACAGTAATCAAAATGCTGGCAATTTCCAACATGAACACAAGAAAAATGCTATGCTTGTGAAGAAAAATACCAATGGAACTACTGTGGCAAAGTTAGAGGAAAAAGTCTGTCTGCCTAAGGTCTACCTCAAAGACACCTCTTCATATTTAAGGAATATAGACTGAATTTAGAAAACGGTAAGTGAACACAGAGAGATGGGCGCTAGCATTCACTGATCTCAAAATGCTATCTGGAATACTGTCTCTGTGATGAAAGTATCACCTCTGCCTTCACTGTATGTAGCAAATTTTGGGTGTACCTGTAATGTAAATGCTACCACTAACCTCCATTTAGCAAGCGAGAAAAATAGAACTACAAAACAAGTGGCATGCAAAAAAACCCCACCTCCCTATAATTAGGTTTCAGTAATGCTGTGGTTTAAGCAACTGATGCTGCAGTTTTGTATCTTCAACAATTGTGTCAACACTGTTATGCTGCCTTCTCCCACCTAATGTTATTACAGCAGAATAATGGGGGAAAAAAATCCAACAAACACAAAAACCCCACCACCAAACAAGAAAAAAAACCCATAACCCTGAAAACTACTCACACAACTGCTCCCCTTCGCATTTGTTTTCAGCCATCTTGCTCTAAGGCATTGTAACAAAAACACCTTACCCATAAAATATCAATTATTTAATAGAGGCTAAGATGAAGCTTTGAATGAATACAATGCAATTCTTTCAAAGAAATACACAGCTACAGTTTACACAGACAGATAAAGACTTTCCCTATCTGAAGTACTACAGTTAGATTGTTTATAGGTATAACTCCCAATTCAAAAAAATAGCTCAAAACTTTTCAGTTACTGAAGTAACTTTAATACATGTAAATAAAAAGTAGATCTATCACAACTGGTAATTTTGCACCTTAATTAAAACTAACTACTTTGGAATTATTGCCGTCCACTTTTTTCAAATTTTTCTTCCAATTAATCAAAGAGCTGTACAAAAGTGGATTAAAAACTGCCATAGGTAAGCTAAGAGCAGAAAGTTTTCAAGTAACTTAAAGACACAGTCAAATCACAATTAAAACTCACAAAATCTATTTTTCAGATTTTATCAGATGCAAGTCACATAAATACATATAAAGATGACAACTGTTTAACAATACATAAACATGGCTCAACCTTCAGGAATGGAAGTGGCTGAGCAATTTGCATAAATTATCTGAACTAATTTTTCTCAAAAGTAAAAAACACACTGAAGAGGTTTTAAATCTTAAGAAAGTAGTGAATTGCATATTCATATAGACAGAAAAAAAAAAAAAATCTACTCCAGAAACAGAAATCCTTGGAAACAATTTTTATTTCATGGAATGTTGTAATTTCTCAAACAAGTATCCCGAGCTAGATTGAATTGGGGAATTCGTACACTTGAATTAGAACATTTGCATCTAAACTAGAGCCATCTTTTTTACTCTTATAGCAGAATTGCAGCTTCTTGCGTTTTGCAGTATTGAAGCCTAAATAAAACCATACTACAGGAACTCATCTGAAATTTAGGGGTTTTTTGTTTTGTTGTTGGTTCTAGTTTATTTTAGTTTGTGGGAGTTTTTTTAATTAAAAACCACTACCTCAGCAAAGCTCCATACAACACACTTCTACTGACAATGCTAACTCTGAAAATTACAAACTCTCTAGAAATACCTTACCCCCAGGAGCTTTAGTCTTTTAAGGTAGCAGTAGTGATGCCATTTACTACTTAAAATAATAAAGCCAGAAACCACCATATACTTCTGACTGATGTTTCATATTAAGGCCAGCCTGAACTAATTCCAGCCTCTCACCTAAGTTCCTCTTTTCTCTCTCAAATATATGATGGCACCATATTTTCAGACATTTGCAATTAAATCCATTTACTATTAAATTCTATGGATTTACATTACAAGAATTATCAAGTTTCATTTACAGTTTTCAGGCTTGCACTCATGCACCTCAAATTCCAAACTCTGGAAGGCACTGTTCCTGGTAATCCACAGTTCTCAAGTCATAGAAAAGAGGCAGTGATGCTCTATGGTACTGTACTCCCCACTTGAAGGAAGTTACTATAAAAGAGTCACTGTATTGATCCAGTTTCCGTTTACACCAAGATTATATATTGTTCCCTTAACAGTAGACCCACAAATTAACTATTACAAAAAGACAGCCTGGAGAAGAGGACATAAACCCTAATGATAAGCACAGATAAGAGGTCTATCTGCACTTTGAGGCCCTGCGTTCTTAGAAGTTAACTTCTTCCTTATGTAGTACCCCAAGCACACCATCAGGGTGTGCCTTCCGCTTTTCAATTTTAACAGTACTTAAGAACAATATAATAATTTATCTGAAATCTGTTTATTATGCTTCATGTTATTCACTATTTCTAATAACAATAACTTCAGTAAAGAAGTTTTATTTTGCCTTGCACAGATGGTTTCAGACAAAAGATACAAGAATGTTACAGGAAAAGGACAATACTGAAAAGGTGTCAAAGACATGGGAAATTAAAAGTTTTACTGTACAGGCCAACAGTAACAAAAATGAATCAATATTTCAGTACAAAAGTGTAGGAAGTTTGCAAAAGAAGGTTTAAGTGGTGAAGGAGAGGTTCTGAACACAACAGCAGCACTCCTTCACATTTTGGACTGTCTGTGCAAATGCAGCATTAATAAAATACCTGTATTTACGAAACAGAGGTAAGGAAACAGCAGATAAAGCTCAGTTCCTACTGTGATAGTCACAGGCTTCGTATCATCTTGTTAAGAACAGGGTTTCTGCTACTCATGGAAAAGAGTCAGGTATAGAGTTCATGCACTTATGCTACTCTGTGGCTTATATTAGTGTTGCCAGCTTGTCAATTAAATCATCAACAGTATTCACAAGGAGTTTTGTATCCTCCTTCTCACTCATCCGATGTTGGCCAATTTTGCGGAGGATAACATCGACATCTTTGCTCAAAACACGATCAGCAACTTGCATAGAGATCTGCCAAGGGACATCACCATCCTTCATGCCATGAATAAGTCGTATGGGACATGTTATAGGAATAGGACTATTTAGCACACAGTGATTTTCTGCTTCTCTGATAAAGTCATATGTCAAGGAGTAATATCCTTCCTCATTATGCTTTGTTGGAAACTTCCATTCACCTTTTTCTTCTATTTCTTTCTGTGCCTATAAAAAAGAAAACAAAGAATAGACAAGACAGATGTTACACGATCTTTAGAGCGCCTCAGCTTATTTCTGTGCTAAATGCAGTAAAACTTTCCCAGGTGTAAAATTTCACTTTGTTCATTTTTATTAGCAGAGAAGGTATATTCCTGTTCACCTTCCAGCATCTGAGAAGACAAACCCCCTATCATGTCACAAAAGCTACTCTGTACATCTTTCCTGCAAATTAATCTAGTTAGGATTCACCAGTGAAATTTTCTCAGCCAGAACCTATCAGAAAGAAAAAGATGTATAGCCACTGTGAACAGTAAGTCTCTTCGGCTTCAATCAGTTAACTGAACCTCAAACAAGGAGAATCCTAGGAAAAAGGAATTTTCCAGTGATGGGTCTTTTCAGTTCTTGCCACAATAGCTGTGTCTAAATACTGTATTTCCAGAATCTTACCTTAGTCTTAAAGTAGAAACACTGACACTATGAAGTGCCTCAGAAAAAAAAAAAAAAATCAGGAAAATAATTTAATTATTCTATAGTATGAGTTATTTATTGGCATATTTGTCACATTATAACACATGGTTTACTTTCCTGAAGACTGGACATTATCATAATCAAGGAAGCAACTTAGAAAGAGACATCCCACTACCTAAATCTTATAAGTCTTTACAAACACACTAATCTGAAGAATTCCCCTTCTAGACACACAACCTGTGTCAGACTCATCTTATCCAATGTCATCTCAATTACTTTAGCAGCTACTTCTCTGTCCTTGAAAGCACAAGGATTCAATCTGGATGCAAATAATATTATATTCAACACTGAAATCTAACAGACTGCTGAACTACAGGGACCTGACTTCACACCCTATATGCCACAGTAATAATATAAACACAATCTAGGTAGTCCTCACACTAGCTTCATGCTAGAAGCACAGTATTTTTCAGACTTCTAAATTAATGTAAATTTTCAGCTTACCTCCACCACAAACACAGAAAACTTACCAGAAGACTTGCAGGAAAACTAGTTTGAACAATAGAATTTCTTAAATGCTTGATAGATTTTTAGATTGCACAAAAGCCAACCGTCAACATTTACCTCAATGGGAAGCTTCTTGAAAGTTGTTACCAGATGGTCTGCTGCTACAGCTACTCCAACTAGAGCAGCTACTTTATCTGGGCGTGCTATTGCAGCATGGAGCATCAGCCATCCACCCAAGCTGGAGCCCACCAGAATCTGAAAAAGAGAGAAAATAAGATATTATTTTACAGGAAACAGCTAATAATTTTTTTCTTCTTCTACAAAGTATCAGTTTTCATTTTTTTTTTAACTACTTAAACCTTGGGCATAATCCTGCTGTCCTTACCCAGGCAGAACTGCTGTCACCTCCAGTGGAAATTTTGCCTGAGTAAGCACCATAGGATCTGGTATTTTATTATTCTTTTTGTTTGGCATGGCTGGTTATTGCTGTCTGAGACTGAAACACTGTAAACAAAATGAGAGTTGAAACAATTCAGTATCACTTGCATACTTTATGTTTCCTTCTCAAAATAAATGCACATGGTAAAGGTTCAGTGCAGTGAAAGAGGTCAACACAAGGAATTCATAATACAAAATTGTCTTAAACATAATACTAGGTATTTCCAGGTTGCAGGAGATTTCGTTTCTCACAGTCATTTCTAAAGTAATAGAAGAAGTCAAATGCTGCTTCTGCTGATTTTTTTTTTTAAGCTATTTTGTCATATAGAGTATCTTAACTTGTAACATTCCTGCAAATCCTTTAATTAATGCATCAGCATGGGACAGTGACACATTTTTTCATTAAAAGGGCTGCGCCGCACTGGAACATCTCCCTGTCTCCTGTCAGGTGGAACCTCCACCATGAGGCTTTCTCAGACTCCCTAGGATGACAGCCCTGCTCTAAGCAGGAGGCTCTAGTAAACAACCTCCAGGAGGTCCTGCCAACCCATCTTTCCATGATTATGTGATCTACCTTGCTTGCAAAAGAGTTCTGATGAATATGACCTCTCAAATGATTCAGCTTGAAAGCAAGCAGGTGTCAGCTGTTAAATGGAAGCTACTATGGACCAGACCTATTATGGCATTTTTTTGATTAATGTTCTACCTTGAGGACAAAAAGCATTCTATATTTAAAAATAAAATATAACCTGTGGTCCATCTGTAAGTTCATCCAGTACAGACAGAACATCTTTTCTCCACTTCCCAATTGTACACTCCTCAAATTTACCATCTGAACTTCCACATCCTGTATAATCAAATCTGAAAAAGGAACCATCAAAATGAAAGTCATAGTACTGTCCACAGCAACATAGAAGCTAACTAAACAGTACCATTTAATCAAATTAAACGGGGGACAAGATACCGCACTGAATATTTTCTTACTTGGTCCCACATATCACTAGCACCAGAAATCACACGAAAAGAGGTTTAAACACAACATATGCAACTAAGTGATGCAGCATTCTGTTATCATTTGACATAACAATATCCACATTTACCAGTATATTTCCCAGACAAAGAATTTCCCTTACAAACAAAAAACCCCAAATACTTCAGTTTTAAAAGTATTTTTAAAATGTACAAACACTCTTTCAAATGCTATACCCAAATACGAAGACTTAGGAAACTCAGCATTCAACCTAGTCTATCAAAGGAGAGTATCACCAAGCACGTACATGTTCTTCTAAAACCGGAAGATACTGGATAATTTAGTAAGATTTGGCAGTTAAGAAGCATGCTTATAGTGGCAACGTAAAAAATTAGAACTCCAGGTTCTTTCTTTTTCATTGTGGTGCCTATAGCCTTAACGTAGCACATAGCACTGGCTAGACTACAGAAATTTATCAGAGAATTTTCTGAATTACTTTCAGAATACATTCTCCTGATTTACCTCAGTCTCACTACAGACAGAAAACCTACATTTGAAATGGAAGACAGACACTTCTTAGCTTGCATACAGCATGCATTCCAATCCAAATGCCAAAGTTTACATATTTTTGTTAAAACCCCTTCCCTCAACACATGATACCAGTTTCATTTTCTCAAGAACAATGCTCTGCATGTACCTGATGAAGGCATGACCTAGAGACTTGCAGAAATCTTCAAGGGCAGTTGCTTTCTGACCATTCATATTTGAATTAAAGCCTGGAAGGAAAACAACCCCTGGATTCCTGCCTTTTAGTTTATGATAAGCAAGGTTTGGTCGATCTGGTCGAGTAAGAAAGCTGACTGAAGATTTCAGCCTGCAAACTAATAAAAAGAGCTATTTAGTACAATCATCATGATAACCTTGGCAGAAATACTAATATTTTATAAAACTAGGATTCAGGAAATACGGGCATATTATGTGAAAATAAGATACTCTGGCTCAAGAGAAAAGTATCTCCTGTATTCCTTAATGACTAACCAATATTGATCAACTTCAAAGGGAAAGCTGATTGTGATTCATTCTCAAATCATGAAATGCCAACCATGTAAGGAGTTCACTCAACAATTAGCAAAGTGGTTGACTGAAGCCAAATGCTAAGATTTCCTACACTTCACTTGTCCTCAGGTTTTATACCATCTTGAATATATTTATTAATTTCACATGAAATGGTAAGATTTTTCATCTGCTTAGTTTAAGTTTTTATTTTTCCTTTTTGTTTTTTCCAAACTGAATTTAAAAAAAAAAAAATTTTGGAACTGAAGTACTCTGTGCAATGGTAAGTTTACAAGTACATGAGGTGACAAATTTTTGATGAAAATTAAAACTGAAGGACAAAACAACATCTTCATCAAAACTCCAGATCCACAAGATCTATGAAGGAGATATACAATGGGGAAGTTCAAAAGTGGGAATTGGGAAAGAATCTTGTGTCTAACTTTCTCAACATGATGAACACAAACCAACATTGGCATTGTTTAAAACCAAATTAAATAAATAACACCTAGCCTTTTTCATCATATCATCAGTAGCTATTTCTGCTTAAGTTAAAGATTATTGCCAGGGACACTGAAAAAGAGGGTCATTTTAAAACTATGCCATCTTAACATCAATCTTTTTCTCAGATATGAAGCACAGAAGGTAAAAAAAAAAACAAAATAAAGCTACATTTTCTGTAAATACGGAGCAATACATTAAAAATATCCCATAAGAAACAGAGTCGACCATTGCAGAGCTATGATTTTCTTATGCATCTCCAGAAGAGGCACAGATACCCATTACATGGTTTGGTGTATTCTCACTGGAGAGGTTACATTATTCCAGTACTCAGATTGTTCTATGTTTATCCAGAATGAAACAGCACTTTGCAAACCTAAATATTTTGCAAATATTTAAAAATTGAAAGATCCTTTAGTGCAACTTCTGTCAAAGTGATCTGCAACATATTACATGAGCAAGAAGTTTTCCTATCAGCATAAACTTAAAATTATTTTGTTTTGTTTTAGTTCAAGATAACAAACCAGACACATCTGGAAAGCAAACACTAGGGCGGACTCTGTTGTTCACACTAATAACCATCAGAAAGTTGAGTTGGTTTCAAACAAGGAAAAAAAGATTAACAAAGGAAATTCTAACTAATGAATAACTATGCTGAATCTCAACAGCTGCTATAGTATTCAATCTAAGTTTAGCAGTCAGTTGTACCTCTGCTGTGGGTGGGGGCAAGTGATTTGTAGAGAGGTGTTATGGAGACTTAATCCACTCTATTATCCCACTCAGCAAGATAATTTGTTAAACTGAAAGCTTGGTCGAGACTTCTAAGACTTTGATACTCTTAATTCTTAGATTAGAAGAAGACTGGTTTTCCAATACTGTCAATCAATAGGGGGCTACAAAAACTATGCAACCGCAAATACCTCAGGGCTTCCTAGTGGTACAACAACTGGATAAATACTGCAAAAACAGGCCGTGACAGCATCACACCGCTTAACTGTTCCACAGCTTTGAGTTCTGTTTTCTCACTATCAGAGAGATAACATTCAAGGGGTTTGGGGAGTTTTGTTTGTTGTTAAATTTGCATGTGCATTAGTAAATGTGGATGCATGGAAGATGCAGGATGCAGCTAGTATCCAGGGCTTTCCTACAGTCTAACAGAAATTATACCATTTAAACTATAGATTAAAAACATTAAATCTTTCCTGAAACAATGCAATGATTCTTTATCCTATTGATGCACCAATTATTATAAAGGGTATAAATACCACATCAAAGGTATATATACTCAAGATGCATCCATGCTACGGCTTTTGGTTTGTGTCTCTATCAGTAAGCCAGTCACTTCTTCACCTGCCACTAACAGAGGAGATACACCAAGAAGTGCTAAACTTGATAGAAAAAGGAATATTTTTTTTTCCCCTTAAGCCCTGGTAACCATCTCTGAAGTCACTCGTTTTCCGTCCTGCAGCACTCTGGAGGTACGCTCAAACTGATTCGACACATTTGGGCAGGGTTTAAACTGCAGCTACAAGACACAACTGCTAAGCTATTCCAAAAACTAGTATTCTGCATTTAACAAGTTACTGTAAGTGCATCAGCAGCAATCCTAACCTGAATAATGCAAAACCCTAAAGCAACTACCCCAGCCAATCCAAAAGCAAGGCTCACTGGAGTCATGCTCTCAGACTTCCCTTTAGACAAACAAAAACATCAACAACTGAGCAGCTATCCAGTAATTTCTCCTCCTGATTTCAGTGAAAGACCTTAGTGAGAGCAGGGAAGCACATCTCAAAGGTGCAAGGTGGTACTTAATATTTACAAAAGCAAGTTACAGACAGAAGGAGCTAGCCACAGGAAGACCACAGGACCCCTGCCCAATGCTATGGAATTCTCTTCATATCAGAATCACTGTGCAATTTTAATTGTGTTATGACCAGCAGACACTGTGATCGAGACCAGTGCTACACGCAAAGCCAAAGAAATCCTCCAAAAAACCTTGGGAATGGTCCAGCACTGTGACCTACCCACTGCCAGTAGCAGCAGCAGATTAACACAGCTCTGGTAGATAACGGACACAACATTGTCCACACCTTGTTTCATGCAATCACCTAGACTACAGCAGTAAGGCGGCCACCAGTTCTGCCAGCAGGAACTGCTGCTTAGCCCGGTCTCAGAGCACCTAAGGGCACACTCATGAACCAGCTGTTCTGATCACACTATCACTCTGAACACACAGAAAGAACATCAACAAAACCCCACCGCATTCATGTCTTTATGCGGATATGACACGTGCACCCTTAGTGTCAAGTCAGTTTGACTCACTCCTACGTCGGGCAAACTCAGACGAGGTTCATTACCTCATCAAGAAGAGCAGCCGTCTCTCAAAATTTAAGGCAATGAGTAAACTCAACAAGTCAGACGACCGCTGCACCTGGAGCGGCAAGGAGGGGCACTACGCGTTTGGGCAGAGGCTCCTCTCCCTCAGAAGTGACCGCCAGCAAAGCTTTCCAGGTGCCTGGTGAAGCCTCCCACGCAGGCGTGTTCCACCCCCAAGCAAGCGAACTGTCCCACTGACGTCCAGCTCCCCGGAGAGCCGCGGCGGCAGGAGGAGCTCACAGCGAACTCGACACCCGCGGGAGAGCAGCTGCTCTGCGGCGACGCACACCTTTGCGCGGCCCCTGCCCCCCCCCCGACCACCGGCCCCGGCCCGGCCCCGCAGGCTCGGCAAGGCCCGTCACAAACCCCGTGCCCCCCCCGCGCCGGGTACGCGGCCCGGCCGTTCCCGACCCAGACGGCGCTGAAGGGGAGAGGGGGCCGTCACCTCCTGCTGCCCGCCCCGCGCTCTGCCGAGAGCAAACGCACCTCCCCACGGACACTACACACGGCAGATACACCCGCCACAGACACGCACCCTTCCCCCCCGGGCTCCCAGGCCGCCGGCGGCGGAGGAGGAGCGCCGGAGTGCCAGCAGAAGTGCCCCAAGGCCCTTCCCTTACCCGGGAGCCCCAGGGCCGCCCTCAGCGGCGACAGCAATATCACCACGGCCGAGGCACGACGTAGCGCGCCCGCCGCCGCCATGCC